CCGAGGTCCCGCTTCGTGTGACCCGAGACCTCGGGTAAACGGGCTGGGTAGTTTTCCATATAAACGCAACAGGGAGGGCTAGCCCTCCTAGTAGGGCTGGAAATTTAGCAAATACGCATGCGCAAATAATTAGAATAATTCAGAATGCACAAATAACTCCCATATAAGGAACCAACGTCCATATATGGAGTTGTTTACGCAAAAAAAAAATAGAACAAGAAGAGCCAGCCCTTCATGTAAGTTTCATGTAAACGCGTGGTGAAATTCATCTAGGGGATGCGAGCCAGCTCGGGTACCCGGGCTGGCTCGCTTCCATATAAACAGCCCCTTACTGAGGATATTGTTGTTATGTATAATTAAATTTAAATTACTCGCAGTACAGTAATCTGCTAACAAACGATTTACCTCTTGAACAGTTGTTTTGGCCTTTGCATTGTCCTCTCTGTTGGTCAATTCAGACAATATTATTTCAACGTTGGGATCAATTTCTTTGACCTCTTGGCATAATTTGTCGATGTCATTAACTATCTCGTTTGCATGCTTGTTTGTTAGTGGCGTTGTTTGTTCCCACATGTAGAATAACGGTATCTGGCTTTCGACGTAGCACGGGTTTATATAATCGCTCATATCACCAACAGTCGCTCCTGGGAAGCATTTCACACCCACGTTCTGCTTTGCTGCTTTCGAAAGTTTGTGTTGCTGCAAACCTTTGAAAATCGAGTCTCCCACTATTACAGTCTTTTTGTTGTTTTGTACTCTTGCTTGCTGACGCTTGCTTGCTGGCGGTTTATCTTTGCCCTCGTTGCTTCCATCGCTACCAATTCGGTTTTTTATCTGCATCTCGTCGATAATTCTGCAGGATTCATTTAGGTCATCTAAGACCAGAAAGTTGTTTTGGCACCATGTACATTCAGCTACTCCGCCAGTTGCATTGCCGCTTACATTTGATGTGATGTTACTGCTTATTGTTCTATTTCTGGTCTTCGGTACTGTATTCCAGTAATTGCCTTGCCCTTGGTCTTTAGTCTTAGTCGAAGGATTAATATTGTCAACGGATTGGTCTTGCATGAGAAGTTTTAATGCAAGACGAAGCGAATCTCGTTCTTCCTCAGCTGTCGTTGCTCGATCTTTTAGTATAGCATTTTTATGCTGTTCGTTTTTTAATTCAATTTGTAGCTTGCTTATTTCTTCGTTCGTACATTTAGTCTTTGTGCTTTCGCTCGACATTTGGCTTTGTAGGATGACTATGTCCAGTTTTATCCCTTCAATTTCGGTTGCCATTGATTTACATCTACAAGGACAGTTGTCGGCAGGTACGTTTAGGTTTTCGCTAGTAGATAATAAACTAGTAAATGGTTGCTGTTCACTGTCCACAGTAACAGCGAGGATGCTGTCGGCTTCGTCTGGAAACCCGCCATTGCCGGATTTGTTTCCTTCTTGTTCGACGAAAGATTGCGGCTTTTCTTTGGCAAGTAGATCTATCAGTTTATTCTTTAAGCCGTCTTCCTCCGTACCTTGAAATAACAAGGTGCATTGCTTCTTAAAATACCAATTTAGTATAAGTTGGCCATTTTCTTCCTTGAATCTTTTGGTACCGCCACCGGGCGACGACCATTTGCCTTTAATACCAAGACTATCTTCGACAAATTTTTTTAGTTCCGCAAAATCCTTTCTCCATTTGAGCTTCTTTCCATCATATTCGAGATTGGAAAGGCCTTGAACTTTGATTTGGTCTAAACACATCACAACCTTCATCAAAAAGTCAGACATTTTGTAGAGCTCTGTAAGACACGTCCGCACAGTTAGAACCACGCGCAGAGTATAGTGCGCCATGCGGTTGCGCTGTCATACCATAGGAAATTTAGTTACTGTAAGATCAATACTGGGCAATTAAAGGTTGAGAAGACACCTATATATATATTTCCGAGTATATGTACACTATGTTAAACATTTGATATAACACATTTATTGAAACGTTTTGGGCATATTAATTTATGGCCGTATTTTTAAAAACGGTGATCCGATATACTATTAAAGCTTACTTGATTGCGCTTAGTTTGCGCTATACTAATTGCTGGAATTTCGCTGACGTAGCTATACCCCTCCTGGTAGTTTCACCAACGCTGTATTCTTGAAATGCATATCCAAGCCAACAAACGCCAGTAAACCCAGCAAGAACAACGAAGAACATAATAAATCTGATCAACCTCGTACCCAGGGCTAGTCGCGAATTCAAGGCGGCGACATAGCCCTGGTAAACGCTGGTCACGTGTCAGGCAAATACTCCAAGATTCTTGGAGTATTAGCCTGCGAGCGGGCTTTGTGGAAATAAAAACAGGGGGGC